CACACCTGGGCACACCTGGGCTGTCCCCAAGGGCTCACCTGGGCCGGGTGACATCGGTTTGATGTCCCCAGGCTCCCGGGACCACCTGGCGGTGGCACCTGCAGGACACCTCGGGTGACCTTTGGTGACACCTGGTGACCCTTGGTGGCCATTGGTGACCTTGGGTGACACCCGGTGACCTGGGGGTGGCCCTGGAGGTCCACGGTGACGTCACCAAGGTGTCACCTGGTGTCCCCAAGCTCCTGGGACCATCCAGTGGTGGCACCTGCAGGAGACCTTGGGTGGCCCCCAGTGACCTTGGGTGGCCCCTGGTGACCTTTGGTGACACTTGGTGACCTAGGGGTGGGCCTGGACGTGTCCCCAAGGTGTCACCTGGTGTCCCCAAGGTGTCACCTGGTGTCCCCAAGGTGTCACCTGGTGTCCCCAAGCCCCTGGGACCACCCAGTGGTGGCACCTGCAGGAAACCTTGGGTGACCTTGGGTGGCCATTGGTGACCTTGGGTGGCCCCTGGTGACCTTGGGTGACACTTGGTGACCTAGGGGTGGGCCTGGACCTGTCCCCAAGGTGTCACCTGGTGTCCTCAAGCCCCTGGGACCATCCAGTGGTGGCACCTGCAGGAAACCTTGGGTGACCTTGGGTGGCCATTGGTGACCTTGGGTGGCCCCTGGTGACCTTCGGTGACACTTGGTGACCTAGGGGTGGGCCTGGACCTGCCCCCAAGGTGTCACCTGGTGTCCTCAAGCCCCTGGGACCATCCAGTGGTGGCACCTGCAGGAAACCTTGGGTGGCCTTGGGTGGACACTGATGACATCTGGTGGCACCTGATGATCTTGGGTGGCCATTGGTGACCCTTGGTGGCCCCCAGTGACCTTTGGTGGCCCCCGGTGACCTGGGGGTGGCCCTGGAGATCCATGGTGACGTCACCAAGGTGTCACCTGGTGTCCCCAAGCTCCTGGGACCATCCAGTGGTGGCGCCTCCGGGAGACCTTGGGTGACCTTGGGTGGCCCCCAGTGACCTTTGGTGGCCCCCGGTGACCTGGGGGTGGCCCTGGAGATCCCTGGTGCCGTTACCAAGGTGTCACCTGGTGTCCCCAAGCTCCTGGGACCATCCAGTGGTGGCGCCTGCAGAGTCCTTGGGTGACCTTGGGTGGCCCCCAGTGACCTTTGGTGGCATCTGGTGACCTTGGGTGGCCATGGGTGACATTGGGTGGCCCCCGGTGACCTTTGGTGGCCCGGTGGTGGCCGGGGCGGCGCCGGTGACCGCGCTGTCCCCCGGTGTCCCCGGTGTCCCCAGGAGGGCGTGGTCTACGCCGTGGAGTTCTCGCACCGCTCGGGCCGGGACCTGCTCAACGTGGCCAAGAAGAGAACGAACGTGGTGCCCGTCATCGAGGACGCGCGGCACCCCCACAAGTACCGCATGCTGATTGGTCAGTGCCGGGGGGGGGCGGGGCCGCCCGGGGACACGCCCGGGGACACGCCCAGGGACACCTGGGGACACCTGGGGGTGGTGGGACCAGGTTCTGGAGAAGGTTCTGGAGATTTTGGGGTCTCCTGGGTGTGATTTGTATTTGGGGACATTTGGGGTGGTGGGACCAGGTTCTGGAGAAGGTTCTGGAGAAGGTTCTTGAAGTGTCTCAAGAGGGTTTTGTGGTCTACTGGGTGGGACTTGAGGTGGTTTTGGGGTCTCCTCAAAATTTTGGGAGGTTCTGAAACCGTGGGGGGAAATTTGGGGACAATTTGGGGACATTTGGGGTGGTGGGAGAAGGTTCTGGAGAAGGTTCTGGAAGTTTTGGGGTGTCCTGGGTGGGGTTTGAGGTGGTTTTGGGGTCCTGGAGAAGAATTTTGGGGTCTCCTCAAAATTTTGGGAGGTTCTGAAACCTTGGGGTGACATTTTGGGGACAATTTGGGGACATTTGGGGTGGTGGGAGAAGGTTCTGGGGGTTTTGGGGTGTCCTGGAAACGGATTTTGGGAGAATTTCAGGTTCTTGGATGGAGTTTTGGGTTCCTGGAGAAGAATTTTGGGGTTTTTGGGAAGAATTTTGGGGTTTTTGGGAAGAATTTTGGGATCCCGTCGGAATTCTGTGCTCCTGGCTGGGGTTTTGGGGGAATTTCGTGGGAATTTTGCCGGGAGTTTTTGGGTTTCATCCTGAATTCCGGGATAATTTTGGGATAAATTTGGGATCATCCCGGGTTTTGTCCTCCCCCAGGCTTGGTGGCCCTGGAATTTTGGGGGAATTTTGGGTTCCTGGCTGGGATTTTGGGGGAATTTTGGGGTTTTTGTCTGGAATTTTGGGATAAATTTGGGATAAATTTGGGATAAATTTGGGATAAATTTGGGATAAATTTGGGATAAATTTGGGATAAATTTGGGATAAATTTGGGATAAATTTGGGATAAATTTGGGATAATTTTGGATAATTTTGGGATAATTAGGCTTCCCCCCAGGCATGGTGGACGTGATCTTCATGGCTGTGAAATTTTAGGGGAATTTTGGGTTCCTGGCTGGAATTTTGGGATAATTTTGGGATAATTTGGGATAATTTTGGGACAATTTTGGGATAATTTTGAGATAATTTGGGACAATTTTGGGATAATTTGGGACAATTTTGGGATAATTTGGGATAATTTTGGGACAATTTTGGGATCATTTTGGATAATTTTGGGATAATTTTGGGACAATTTGGGATAATTTGGGATAATTTTGGATAATTTTGGGACAATTTTGGGACAATTTTGGGACAATTTTGGGATAATTTGGAAAATTTTGGGACAATTTTGGGATAATTTGGTCCCCCCAGGCCTGGTGGACGTGATCTTCATGGCTGTGAAATTTTGGGGGAATTTTGGGTTCCTGGCTGGGATTTTGGGATAATTTTGGGTTCCTGGCTGGGATTTTAGGGGAATTTCACGGGAATTTTGGGTTTTTGACTGGAATTTTGGGATAATTTTGGGATAATTTTGGGATAATTTGGATTATCCCAGGATTATCCCGGGCCAATCCCGGTTTTCCCCCCCCAGGCATGGTGGACGTGATCTTCATGGCTGTGAAATTTTGGGGGAATTTTGGGTTCCTGGCTGGAATTTTGGGGGAATTTTGCAGGAATTTTGGGTTTTTGACTGGAATTTTGGGATAATTTTGGATAATTTTGGGACAATTTTGGGATAATTTTGGGATAATTTGGGATAATTTTGGGATAATTTTGGAATAATTTTGGGACAATTTTGGGATAATTTTGGGATAATTTTGGGATAATTTGGGATAATTTTGGATAATTTTGGGATAATTTGGGATAATTTGGGACAATTTTGGATAATTTTGGGATAATTTTGGATAATTTTGGACAATTTTGGGATAATTTGGGATAATTTGGGACAATTTTGGATAATTTTGGGATCATTTGGCCCCCCCAGGCATGGTGGACGTGATCTTCGCCGACGTGGCGCAGCCGGACCAGACGCGCATCGTGGCGCTGAACGCGCATCACTTCCTGCGCTGCGGGGGGCACTTCCTCATCTCCATCAAGGTACAGACCAGTACGGACCAGTATAAACCAGTATGGACCAGTACGGACCAGTACGGGGCACTTCCTCATCTCCATCAAGGTACCGACCAGTATAGACCAGTATAGACCAGTATGGACCAGTATAGACCAGTACGGGGCACTTCCTCGTCTCCATCAAGGTACCGCCCAGTATAGACCAGTATGGACCAGTACAGGGCACTTCCTCATCTCCATCAAGGTACCGACCAGTACGGACCAGTATGGACCAGTATAGACCAGTACGGACCAGTATGGGGCACTTCCTCATCTCCATCAAGGTACCGCCCAGCACGGACCAGTTCAGACCAGTATGGACCAGTACGGACCAGTACACGGCAGTAGAAACCAACTGGCTTCAACCAGTTCTAACTGGGACCAGACTGGTTCTGACTGGGATTTAACTGGTTCTGACTGGGACCAGACTGGTTCTAACTGGGATTTAACTGGTTCTGACTGGGACCAGACTGGTTCTGACTGGGACCAGACTGGTTCTGACTGGGATTTAACTGGTTCTGACTGGGATTTTACTGCTTCTAACTGGTTCTAACTGGGATTTAACTGGGTCTAACTGGGACCAGACTGGTTCTAACTGGGATTTAACTGGTTCTAACTGGGATTTAACTGGTTCTAACTGGGACCAGACTGGTTCTAACTGGGATTTAACTGGTTCTAACTGGGA